GAGTAATTATTTCTGATTTCATTTTTCCCAGATCCTCTTTTGTTGCCAGTTCAGAGAGTCCAGGTGGTTGAGTATCAGAGTGTTCCATCCCGTTTCCCTTTGGGGTTGCTGTAGGTGATCTGGAAGTCTTTTTTGAGGCTTTTTTATGTGTCTTCTCATTTCCACGGCTGGGGGGGGGGCTGCTTCTGGCACCCATGCCGCTCACCTTCTCTGCCCTAGGAGCTTGGGATGGCAGCGAGGGAACTTCCTTCCAGGTGCTGGGACCGGCTCACCTTCTTGGCCCTAGGCAGCCTCAGAAATCTTATCACATCATTCCCCCATAGTCAACTGGTGGGAGCAGTCACAAGCTTCCCCAGGCTCAAAAGTTTCATCTATTGATGGGAAGTGGCAAAATTTTGTTCAGTAAGTATATTTTTAACTGTAAGAAATTGCTAAGAAATTTCTTTTAAATAGCTATAAAATTTTGCATTCTCACCAGAACATTTGTCTGCACATCCAAGATATTTTCAGTTTTGTTTTGTTTTGGTTTTGGTTTTTTCTTTTGTTTTTTTGAGATAGGGTCTCTTTTTGTAGTCCAGGCTGGCCCTGAACTCACTATGTAGTCCAGGCTGGCCTCAGCCTCCCAAGTGCAGGGATTACAGGCATGCACCACCATGCCCAGCTATTTTCAGGGTTTTGAAAAGCCATTCTAATAGGTATATAGTATTATTTCACAGTGGTTTTAAAACTTCTGAGGCCCATGTCTGATTTCCCATCCACGTATCTTCTTTGGTAAAGTGTCTGCTCAAATCTTTGAACCCAATGGTCAAATTAGGGTATTTGCTTTCTTATCTTCAAGTTTGGAGAGTTCTTTATGTATAGTTTATCAGATATAGTGTTCAAAAATTCTCCCAGCTGATGACTTCTTTCTATTTTCTTTATCTTTGAAGCGGAAACATTTTGAATTATACTGAAGTCTAACTGGTAATTTAAAAAACATTTATAGATCATGATTTGGTTGTATCTACAAAACCTTTGCCTAACCCAAGATCACAAAAATCTCATTCTATGTGCTGTCCTAGAATTTTAGTTTTGAGTTTTCCATGTCTATGATCCATTTTGAGTTAATTTTATATATAGTATGAAGCAAAAACTGTTTAATGCTTTTAATATGGCTATTTAATTATCACAGCTATTTGTTGAAAAATTATTTTCTCCCACTGAATTTCTTTGGCGCTTTTGTCTCAAATCCATTCACCATATGTGAGTAGATCTATTTCTGAATTTGATTGTGATCCATTGATCTATGTATCTCTGCTTTAATCAAGCTACCCTAACTTTATAGTACGTTTTATAATCAACTCATGTGAATCTTTCAACTTTGTTCTTTCTTTTTTTTTTGGTACCAGGATGGAACTCAGGATCTTGCACCTGTGAGGCAGGCACAGTGCCCCTGAGCTAAATCCCTGGCCCTCAACTTTGTTCTTTCTAAAAATTGCTTTACTATCCAAGTTTATATGCCTTCCATATAAATATTAATATTAGCTTGTCAAAAAATAAATTCCTTTACGTAGTGGCTTTGGCTTGTGATAAATCTATTATTTTTAGAGCAGTTGATTTCTTACCATTAAAAAGTCTTCCAATCCTTAAATACCGTATATTTCTCCACTTATTTAGGTTGCTTTTCCTATTACAAAAATGTTCTTGAGTTTTTCAGGATAAAAGGCTTGCATACTTTTTATTAGATTTCACAATTTCTCATTTTTTTAAATAACTATCTGTCCATTTATTCCTCAATAAATCTGATATGGAAACCCTCATGGGATATTTTAGAGTTGAAAATTTAAGAGAACAATACCAACCAACACAGTGCTAGATGTCTTTGACTCCCATATTGACTTTTTCCATCCTATACGTGTGTGTGCACATGCACGTGTACATTGTATATGGCACTTTTCATACCACAGAAGGAAGTGAAGGGTTGGACCATGGACTCGGGAAAAGAAAGACATGCTCTCATCTCTAGACTCATGTTTTTTGATACTACTGTCAAATGTCACTTAAAGAATTATTGATTTCTGATTGTTCACTACAAGCATATATAAATTATTAATTTTGCATTTTGAACTTATATCCTGTCACCTTATTTTCTTTGTTCATGGGATTTTTTTTCTGTTGGAATTTTCTACACAGACAGGCATGATAAACTTTCCTCTAAGCATTCTACCAATTTGAGTATAATTTATTTTCATTATCACTCCATTGAAAACATTCACCCATTTTCCTTGTGACTTTTCACTTGACTCATTGATAGTTCAGAAGTATGTTATAGAATTTCTAATATCTGGGCTTTCTTTCTAGCTATATTGTTGGTGCTGTTTCCTAATTTAATTTTCAGTTAGATGATGTAGTATGTGAGCCTTGTCTATTTTGTTGAATAGTCTGTGCACCCTAAAGGAAAGTGCAGGGCAGTCTAGGTCAGCTAAGTTGTGCCAAATTAATTGATCATGTTGTTCAGCTCGCCTCTGTTCTCACTCACTCTTGGTTTGGTTGTTTTGTCAATTCCTGAGAGACGAGTATTAAAGTCTGCTGTTGCTACTGTTGGTCTTTAGTTTGAGTGCCATTAGTTCGGTGCTGAGGTGCACACACTTTAGGACATTAATGTCGACTCCAGGAACTGACTCTTTATCACTCTGTATTAGTCACTTTCCTGTTGGTGAGACAAAATGTCTGGCGCCCACAGCTTATCTGGACTCGTAGCTCCAGTGGGTTCAGTGCACTGAACTTGGGTGGCTCCCAGGGAGGGGCCTGGCAGAGGAAAGCTGGTCACTCAGGCAGGAAGCAGAGGGAAGGGAGGAGCCGGGGCCAAGACTGCACCCTTCCCTGCCCTCCTGATCTCATGATTCTTCCTTTCACCCGCTCAAATCCGCTGTTGAACTCCTCCAGTGAATTTCTATTTCAGGTATTCTGAAGTTTTCTATGTCTCTTCATATCTAGAATTTATGTTTGATTTCTTTATATAGTTTGTAGTAGTTTACTGGTGTTCTCATTTTGTTATTGCATCATTTTTCTGATTTTCTTCGTTCTTTCCCCCGTGGTTTCCTTTAGCTAAGAAGCATATTTAAAACAATTGACTCAATATCTTTGATTACTAGTTTAACTGTCTGAGCTTCCGTTTGTGCCACCTTTGTCCCATTTTTCTTTAGAGCAGGAGGAGTGTTTCTACAAAGAGATGGTGGAAGCCCTTTTTGGAGAGGCCATAGTGGGGACAAAGAAGGAGAAGCTTTGGAGTGGGAGTTACAAAATCCTAACTGATAAAATGCAGAAGGGTAAACAGGCCAGTGTTTGAGCTGAATAGGCATATAATAATACTAAAATTTGAAACTTAGCAAGCTACTGTTTGACTGAAAAAGTATCATACTGAAACATTTTTATCCAGTGTGGTTATGTTTTATATGCAGTTATGTGGTTATGTTTTACAGATGATGATTCTGAAAAAGCAAAACTGACCATTAGCTGAGTTAGTTGTCTTGATGGGAAATCAAATCAGACTTTGAGACAGCAAGAAATGGTTTTCTCCCTCTCCTCTCCACCTTCTCCTGACCTCCCCTCTTACCTCTCCCCTCCTTTGTTCTCTCCTCCCCTCTACCCTCTCTCCTCTTCTTCTATTCTTTCCTTTCTTCTTTTTTCCTGAAGCAATATTTCCTAAAATGAAAGGTCAGTGTAGTGGGGATTATGGGAAAAGTGAATATTTTAAATTACCTTATGAAAATCTTGAAAATTTGGCCAAAAACATAGGGGCTATTTGGAGTTCTAATGTGGAGGTGTGTTTTTAAAATACAGTACATAGATTTTTTATTATTTTTTTCATCCATGTCTGCAGCACATGATGTCTGCATTCTTTGTGGGGAGTTGGTCCATGTACACAGCACATCTTAATTCTTTTTTATCCTTCCCCCCCTTCCCCCTCAATCTCTTGATCTCCTTCCCATTTGAGAATGATCTCTCTCCCTATTTTCTATTATCTAGCTTTATTTTGGTCTTTATTTAAAATTTGGGTTTCTCATGTCGCATAAGAGAAATCATGTAATATTGAAGTTTTCAAGTCTGTTTATTTCACATATTATGGTCTCAAAGTACATCCATTTTCCTACAAATGACTCAAAGTTTATCTTTCTTTATGACAAAGAAGTACTCCTTTGTATGTAGCTACCACATTTTCTTTATCCATTCATTTGATGGGCATACAGACTGTTTCCAAGATTTAGTATGAATTGTGCTGCTATGAATATGGGTGTGCATGTAATACAATTTCCTTATGTCTTTTAGGAAGATACCTAAAAGGAGAATGGCTGGGTCAAATGGAATTTCTAGTTTTAGATTTTTGAGGCATCTCCATACTGATGTGCGTGATGGTTGTACCAGTTTACATACCCACCAACAGTGTAGAAGGGTTCCTTTTCCTCCCCGGCCTCTCCACCATTTGGTATTACTTGATTTCTTTATTCTTTCTGGGATAAGATGGACTCTCAGTGCTGTTTTAATTTGCATTTCTCCAGTGGCCACCAACGTTGAGCATTTCTCATGTATTTATTGCCCATTTGTACTTCTTCTGTCAAGTGTCTTTATTTTACTTGCTCATTTTTTGATTGGGCCTTTATTTTGTAGGGGTCTAATTTTTGGGGGTTTTTTATATATTCTAGAGGAATCTTTGGCAAAATTGTTTCCCACTCTGTACGGTTTTTTTTCACTCCATTGGCTGTTTCTTCTGCTGTGAAGAAGCTTTTTAATTGTCTATGATCCCATTTGCTGATTCTCAAAACTACTTCTTGTGGAAACAAAATTCTGTTCAGAATTTTGCCTACATCTATGACTTCAAGAGTTTCACCTATTTTATTTTTCAGCAGGTTACGTGTTTCTATTTTAACATTCAGTTTGTTGATCCACTTTGATCTTAGTTTAGTACATGGTAAAAGATATGGGTCTAAATTCACTCTTCTGCATGTGGACAGCCAGTTTTCCCAACCCTATTTATTAAAGAGGCTGTCTTTCCTTTAATGTGTTTTTTCCCCCTTTGTCAAAGATCCAGTAGTTGAGTGTACTTGGGGGTGTTTTTGCATCCCCTATTCTGTTCCACTGATCCTCCTGTCTGCCTTTGTGCCAGTGCCATGCTGTTTTTATCACTGTTCCTTTGTGTTATAGCTTTAAGGCCTGGATTGTGATTCCTCCCACTTTGCTCATCTTATCCAGGATTACTTTTGTTATTCTGGGTCTCTTCTTGTTCCATATGAATTTCCATATGGTTTCATATGACTTTTTTCTCCATTTCTGTGAAGAATGCTGTTGGAATTTTGATTTAGATTGCATTAAATCTGTATATTTTGGCATAACTCTGTATTAAGGTTAAAATAAGTCTTTGAAATTCTTTTGACCAAATTCATAGACTAATTGCCTAAGAGTTGATATCTTTATATTACTTTTAATTTAAGAACATAAGGTGACATTTTATTTATCCAAATTTTCTTTAATGTACTTCTAGAGGGACTTTTTACTGTCTTGGTATAAGTGGTGAACTTTACTTTTCCATTTACTAGCATGTACACAATGTAGGTATGCTTAAATTTGAGATGTAGTTTACACATAAGAAAATGTACTCTTTTGCCACATATTTTTGTGACCTGTGCGGACAGGGACGCCCCTCAGCGGTCACGCCCGGGGAAGTCCCGCCTCCCTCCGTAAGACTCCCGCAGGCCTCTCCAGTCAGCCTCTCTCCGCACCTGCCCGTGGCTAATGTGCAACATTCTTCCCACTCTTTATGTTTCATAAATGATATTAGAAAGGGAGATGAATAAACTTTTATTTCAATCCTCACTGAGTTCAAGTTGAATTTCCTCTGACTTCTGTGTGGCCTCTGAAGAGCTGTCACCAAATGGTGAATAGTTCTGGATGGAGAAGATCCAGGGGAGACGAAAAGGCACATCCTGAGAGCTGCAGGAGAGGTGGCTGCTCGTGGTTAAACCATCTGATAACAAATCCAGCTTCTTTCGGCAAACAGCAAAGCTCCTGCCCATTATGATGCTGCTCTTTAACTTGCGAAGAGTTCCAGTAGTTTGAATGAAGATTAAAGAGCTTTGACCATGGTGACATACCTGATAAATCCAGAACCAATACAGTGCCTGACACACAGCAAATCCAGAAATCATGCTTGTTTGTTGAATAACTATCAAGTTGATGTAAGTCAGAACCAAGGACATCTTCGTTTGGAGGTATTCGAGTACCTGCGCTTCTGGAAGCTCTTCGGGGGGCTCTGGAGTGCAGCTTTCTCCTCCCCTCCTTCATTGCTGGCCTGTGAGCAGCTTCTCAGAGTGCAAGCAACGAGGCGGGATGGCCTCCTTAGTGGGCAGGCCAACTACCTGAAGCTCCTGCACAAACAGTGTGTGGCCTCCTGCCCTAGGCCAGTGCTGGGAGCAACACAGACTCCTTTGTCTCGTCTCTCACTTTCTACTTCCTAGGGTTTGAGAGTTTCTTCTCCTCTTTCATAGAGGTCTTCCTTTTTGGTAAATGTTGACACCTAGTCTGAGGTTAATTCCAGGGAAGATGTGGATGAGCACAGGGAGTAATTATCCCCTTAACTGTGGATCCTGTAGCGGGTGTTCTGCCGGGCTCCACCCTCATCCTGAGTCAGCTTTTGATAACAGGTTGAGGAACAGAAGGAATGATCAATAAATTCTGTACCTTGAACTATAGTTTTTTCCACTCAACCCTCCCACCTCTGAACCCCAGACTCAATGATGTCATATTGTGAAACCTCAAATATGGACTAACCAGGTGGGTACCTCAGTTCCACAAATTTTTGGTTGCCTCAGTGTGATTTTTCTATTTAGAAGTAATGCTTATGTGTCATTTATGCATCCAGGCTGGCTTACTACATCATCATGGATTCTTTTTCTCATGTTTACTGAGGATTGAGAAATCTCTGAGCATTTGGAAGTATAAAACATAAATTGTGGTGCTTATACAAAGTGAGCACGTAATGTAATAATGAAGGAGAGGCCAATACAAAGACGTGTGTGGTGCAAAGAGGAGCATGACACCCAGTACCCTGTGCCCTTGAAGGCCCATGTCTCCACCATGTCGTATTCCAAGCCCCTTCTAAATGAAGCTGCAGACCAAAGGAAAACATTGAGTGTATTCGGTGGCCACACGCATCCTCTGCTACTGGGATGCATTTCTCGGGGGGATTCACATACTCTATAGTGAGAAGCTTGCTCCTGAGTGTTTGGTGCACGACAGTTAAGAAAGTGATAAAATGGGTTGAGATAAATGCAAAATCATTACACTTTTGAAAAATCAAGAGAATCTTTCAGTAACAGAAGGGCCAGATAAAGAATGAACAAATCAGTGGACATGGATGAACAACACATGGATGGATCTCAAGGACATATTTCTTCTTTTTCTTTTGTACCGGCGATCAAACTTGGGAACTCGTGCTTTCAAGGCAGGTGGTGGAACCGCTGATCTAAATCCCTGGCCTAACAAAGATATATTTCTGAGTGAAAGATACAGACTAAAATGTTATATGCATAATTGCTCCGTTATGTGATATTCTGGAAAAGGTAAAACTCCAGGGATGCAGGACACATCAATGGTTGCAGGACTTGGCAGCAGGAGGAACATTTGTCTATAAAGGGGCCTTGCAGGAGAATTGTTTGAGGCAATAGAACTATTTTGTACCCAATCATAATGGTTGTTACATAAATCTATATATGCGTTAAAACTCATAGAACTGTATACCCCAAAATGGGTTAATTTTACTTTATGCAATAATAAAAATAACAACAAAAATTTAAAAATAGAGTGACCAAATAACTCTCAGGAAATTATTCAGACCATGCCAGCGCCAATTATTGGTAACTGTATGGACTAGGACAAGTTAACCCCTGTGTGACTCAATTTCCTCATCCTGAAAAATGGGAATAATTTTACTATCACCTGATGAGGTTGTGTGAGAGTTAAGTAAGATAACCCTGAGATGGTCCTTAGCATATTGAAGTAGTTGATCAGTTCCAGCATATATTACGTTCAATGCTACAGACAATAAGATCACTGCAGTGAAATTGGTGTCACTTCGGTTGTCAAATGTGGCTCTAGTTGACATAGGCGATCCCAGACACACTGTGGTGACTGGCAAGTTAGAGTGTTTCTGGACCCAGCCTTAAAAATATATTCAAGTGTCACATGGGGTTAGCAAAATTAATTCACCTGGGTCTCAATATATTTTCAATCTGTATAATAAGGATCATAGAATTAGCCCCTAATCTAGGTAATCATTAATGGTACTACTATCACTTAGAAGGACTCATCAACCTCCTATTTAAAAATAGGATTAACAGAGCCAGGGATTTAGCTCAGTGGTTCCGGCACCTGCCTCGAAAGCACAAGGTCCCGAGTTCAATCTCTGGTACCAAAAACAAACAAACAAATAAATAAATAAATAGGACTATGATCACATATCAGTAATTAGAACAGTCGTGGGTAAGCTTCGTATCTATCTGGGCCTCTCTGTTCTTAGTTCTCTAAGTTCTAAAATTTTCAAATTCTAAAATCTTGAATGAAAACTAATCTCCTAATAATTAGTTTCCTTATGGCTCTTTTCATGTCCTGATTCCTCAGGCTGTAGATGAAGGGATTGATTGATCAGGGCATCACTACTGTGAAGATGACAGAGGCCACTATGTCCTGTAGCGAGTAGGAGGATGAAGGGTGCATATAGACCCCCAGGATCACCCCATAGAAGAGGGAGACCACAGTGAGGTGGGAGCCACACGTGGACAGGGCTTTCCTTATCCCCTGCATAGATCGGAACTTTAGGACACTAGAGAAGATGCACACATATAATACAGTGATACATGTGAATGGTGTAATAGAAATCAATCCACCTATAACCGAAACCATCAATTCATTGATAAAGGTGTCAGAGCAAGAGAGCTTCAGGATAGGGTAGGGGTCACAGAAGAAGTGACTTACAGTGTTGTGGGAACAAAAGTTGAGTCTGACCATGAGCAGAGTGTGGAGGAGAGCGTGCAGGTTTGTAATGACCCAGGAGACGGCCACCAGGAGGACACAGAGCCTGGGCCTCATGATCATGGTGTAGTGGAGTGGGCGACAGATGGCCACATAGCGGTCA